TTAAAAAAAAAAAAAAACGATTGGGGGGCAGCCCTAAAAGCTTCCTCACAGGATTGTTGTAAAACATGAAGATGTACCTCCACAGGCCCCAATCTTTCGTGGGTACAGAAGGTCGGCGAGCCCAAAGCCTCCAGCAGTCCCCAAACAATGCTCTTAACTGGGACCACCACCCCCAAAATCGTCATGACTATCAAGTTCCTTCCGCGAGCTTCTAGGCCAAACCCACCTCACCTCAGAGTTGTCTGTCATTACCGAAGGAATGGCAATGACCTCTAGAATGCCAGGGAGAGCTGGCCAGAGAGATTCCACCAACGACCTGTCCGTCTCCTGTGGGACACCCAAAATGGAAAGCAAATGAAAGCCCTTGAGGGAGCTATCATTCAGGAGCAATCCCACCAGGGTGGGCCCTCTACATGGGTGCTTGGTGTGACTTGAGGAACCCCAGATGCTCTCTGCACCCCAAAACTCCTACTCCTTGTCACTGGGCCTCACATCCCACCATTAGACCTCAGCCCACCAGCATATATGAGTTCCTACCATTTTCCAGGCACCATGCTTAATGGTAGGCTTAATTCCTTTAGGTTATATATGACCCTCTTCTAAGCATTTTCTGTTAAAAAGGCAAATACCCGCTGAGATGGGTAATGCATTAAGTCGCCAGCACCCCAGTTTGAATTAATTGGGGGCTTCTTGCTTGTAAGACAGCAGAGAAGGACTGGATATCTTTAGCAAAAGGGAGCTCAAGTTCAGAGGGCAGAGGTGACTAAGCAGCAAGACGGAGCACCATCCTGGTCTTTTTCTGTGGTGGGTTTGTAGGGCACGTCCCCTCCTTCCTCCACCCTTTCACCAAGACAAACACACCCATTGCCCCCAGAGGTAAGCAGCGGGGGCTGGGCAGCCTTGGCTCTGCTGCAGAGGGGCGGGGCCTGCCCTTCACCATGTCCAGGGTAAGGACGCCCTGAACCAGTGCCTACTCACTCTCCAACAAGTCCAGGGCCTGCAGTTCAGGTAATCTCACCCGAGCCCACCAGTAAAAGTGAGACTTCACCCTCAGCCCCTGTTCAGGAGGGAGAGAGGAAAGAAAGAGGGAGGGAAGGAAAAAAGCTTTTTTCTATGCTGAATTCAAGACTTGGCCAGCAGAAGGGAGAATGCTGTTAGTCTACAAGGGGCCGCTCCAAACCCCCCACCCCTACTCTATACCCAGGGTTGTCCCCTCCCGCCACGGAACCCTGGCCTCCATCTGCCACCATCATCCAGGTTGACAGGGGACACCTGTGCGGGCTGCAACCCGACCAGCAACCAGGCAGTGAGAACCTATGCTTGTAGAGGCAGGCCTTCCCCAGCATGGCTCCTTCCAGGGCAGAGGAGGGGAGGAAGGGCACCTGAGTCCCCCACCCCACCTTGGAGCCTTGGCCACCCTCCATAAAAAGTCTAGAAGGATGCTCCAGAGTGTTAAAGAGCAACTGAGTGACTTCTTGGTATCCTACTTTATGTCACCACCAGCTATTGAGGGCCCTCTGTTCTCTCACAGTGGGGACAATTCCTTCACCATCTCTACGATGACATAGTGCCCAGCAGGTACCCGGCACACAAATAGGACTTCCTGTATATGATCATACTGATATGGGATGGAGTGTCATACCTGGCCCTTTTTACTCCCTATATCAACTGCACTCACTCCTAAGACACACAAGGGGAAAGGGCTTTTCAGTCACATGGTAGGGTTGGGGAAACTATAGTTTACCAATAATAATTGCCACTTACTGAGTGCTGGCTGGGGGTCTGGCAAAAGTACTCCATGAGGATTATCAAATTTAATTCTTCCTAAGGGATAGGTACTATTATTATCCCAATTTACAGACAAGAAAACTGAGGCCAAGAAAGAGATTCAGAAATTTGCCCAACATCACACTGAAGTTTGAATGAATACTTGTTTGAATTGAAGGCTCCCGTTCTAGGTCCTGGACAAGTAGGGAGGAGGGGGCAGACATCTTGCCCAAAAAAGACTGCTCTCCATTCTCACCAACAGGCATAAAGGCTTGGAGCAGGCCTGCAAAACCCTGCTACTTGTTCTGCTTGGATGCAACAGGTCCAGCTCTCCTAAAAGTGTTTGCAGGTCATCTCTGGAATGGCTACACTCCGCCATGGTCTTTGGGGCCCTGGAAGCTTTCGAGGATCCGAAATGCTCCCACTGCTTCTGCCTTTCCTAATGTAGGCCCCTATCAAACAGGACTGGGGCTTGCAGCTCCTCAATCATCTCCTCTCCGGGGAGAGGTCTCAACCGGTGGGAGGGGGGGTGCATCACGGTAGGGTCCTCCAGAGTTGAGCTGGGCGGCCGGGAGGGCTCTCACTTCCTCCCCGCCACCCCCGCAGGCTGAGCTGTGCCTCGCGCTGGGAAACATGGGCACTGCAGTCACTACTGGGGCCTGCGGCTCGCCTAAAGACCGCGGACCTCGCGGCGTCTCTTGGTCCTGGGCCGGAACCCGCAGAGACCCTCCGGGTGCACTCGCAGCAGGAAGCGCCGCGGAGAGGCCGGGACTGGGACTGGAGCGGCCGAAGCTCTCTGGTGGCCGCGGCTCCCCGCCTCTCCCCGCCTCCCCTCAGCTGCCAAGCTCCACGGCCAGAGGCCGGAGCCGCTGGCTAATTTTTCACGCCCCCCAGACCGCCTCCCTAGGTGACGCTACAGCCTGTGCGGTTCCTTTAAAGGCTGCGGGTTCCGTTCTTCTTTCCTTTTCCACTGGATGCCAAAATATGCAAATCTGGGGACCGGAATCAGCAGCCAAATAGAGAAGGAGAAGGGGCGCGGCCGGCGCGTCACCGGATCCGCTCCTTGTATGGCTCTTCCCGGCTTGGCCCGCCGCCCCGCGACCCTCCCTGCAGCCGCCAGGGCCCCTCCCGCGCCCAGCCTGGCTCACACTGCCGCCCACGCCCCCGGGCCGGCCAATCGCCCCCCCTTGGGAGGGAGCCGGGGGCGGGAGGCGCTGCATGCCCTGATTCCGGCCGGAGCTGGGGACCGCTGCAGAGCGCTCCCTCCCCGCGCCGCGCGGGCGGAGGAGAGCCCAGGGGCGCAGAGCCTCCCCGGTATAGGTGTGGGTAGCCTGGCGGGAGCGGCAGCAGGGGCGGGGGAGAGGGGGCCCGCGGCGGCGGGAATCCCTCCTTTCCTAAGAACCAGAGGAGATCCGGGGGAGGCCGGGCCCTCCCACCCCTAGTTCTCCACCGAGTGAAGTGGAGGGGAGGAGAGAGAGGCTGTCATCCACCCCCACGACGATGTGCAGCTCGGGAGTTCCTCCCACACGTCCCCGGCCCGCGTGGCCCTCCCACGGAGTGAGGCCCGGGGATCCTCTCCTCCTCCTTGTCAATACTCCCACTCCCTCTGAGAAATGCACGTTCCCCCAACCCCAACTCCCCAGCGAGGGACGCGGGATCCACCGCGCCCACACGGCCAACGAGGAGGGACTCCTCCCACGCTGACCCGGTGTGATCCGGGGTCGCTCCCCCACGCCCCCCTCCTCTCCTTGCCCTCGCCCGCGGCCCGGCCGCGCGCGCTCCGAAAACAGGCCTCGGGGAACGTAGCCGCCCCCGGGATCTGCTGCCTCTCTGGGAGGTGACAGCGCTCGGGGTCGGCAAACAGGCAGCCCTTGACTGCAGGGCGCCGGCAGTCAGCAGTGGGGACAGCCCTGTGGAAGGCGAGGGGGAGGGTAGAGAGCAGGGGAGGTCGCCGTGGTGGCTCAGAGACTGTGGTTCGGCAGGCTCCTGCCGCAACTCAGTGGCGGGCCCTTCGCAGGCAGCAATAGACAGCGACTGCGCCTGGGCCTGCTGGGCCCTCCTGCCATCCCGTGGCCAAAGGGGTGCTTTGGAACCATTAGGGAATTTATGGAGGGTTTGGTGCACGTGTTCCCTATCCCCTCAACTTCATTCCTTCTCCTTCACCACCAAAACTGCACATCCTCGACCCCCAAGGTGAGGAGTTCTCGCCTCCCGCGCAGCCGCTATGCAGCTACGAAATCTCCCAGCCACTGCGCTCAGCCGGGTGTCAGCGCAGGGTCAGGGGCCCAGGGAGCAGCAGGGCTGTGGGCGGCGCATCGGAGGGAGGGCGGCACAAAAGTTCCCGGGATACTGGACCAGAGATCCCTGACCCGCTGGAATCCTCCTCAGAGGGACTTTGTCCCAGTCCCAGGCAGGATCCTGGACGCGAGAAGAGCGGCCGGGGCAGGGTCGGAGCGCACACCTTCCGGGTTCCCCAGAAGTTCCCAGGCTGCAAAGGGACCCCGCCGAGTGTTTTCAATTCTCTTTCTTCCTGCTGGGGGGCTGTTAGAGGCCCCTTGCGAACGACCCCCCCCCCACGGCCCCCTGTCCTACAAGCGCGCTCTCCTAGTGCAGACATCAAATAAACACACAGGCGATTATTGCTCTTCGCCCCCGCGCTGCGTGCCTTACGCCGCACGTTCAGTTACACCCCTCTTTCCTCTCTTCTCTCGAATTTTCTTTCCTTCTTTTCTATTTCTCTCTTTCTCTCTCTCTTTTTTTAAGATCCGCGAGCGGTGCGGGCGCCGCACGTTGGCTGCGGCCCGCTTCCTGCTTTCTAATGTTCCATTGTGAGGAGCTTCCATTGTGACGTCGCGCCCCTTCGGCTGGGCTTTGTCTGTCCATATATGGGCAGCTACGTCACGGAGCTTTCCCGGGGCTCAGATAAATAGGCTGGTGGAGTTCCCTGGCTGGGAGCTTTTGGGCAGCAGTGAGCTTGCTAGGAAGCTGCGGGGCTGGTGGTGGTGGTAGCAGCGGCAGCAGCAGCGGCAGAGGCGGCGGCGGCGGCAGTGGCGGCGGTGGCGGCGGTGGCGGTGGCGGATCGGGGGGCGGGGGGGCCG